ACTCATCAGACAAGTAACTCTGTAAGGTTACAATCACAGAGGGAAACAAAAGCTTTGAATTTCAGCAAAAAAAATCAGCCTAGTTTACAAGAAATCAACAGGTTAGCATGAGGTCAACAACAAATGATGCCCATTAAACACAGATAGCTTCAGGTACATTCTACAGTTCTTCTGAATAACAAATAAAATATACATCTACTAAAATATACCTATAAGCAACAAGATCACAACTTACCCAATATTTGTGGTAGTATTCCTGCCAGTAACAAGCGATGTGTCACCGAAGCTCCCAATTCTCATACTGTGAATACATTGTACGAACCTATCAGGATATCTACTTTAACATACAAAAGAGGTGGAGCAAAAGGCTACCTTGCTAACAGGGTGAAACTGCATAGCAATACACACTGTTACTAAAACGTCAAATGCACAAATTAGATATTGACTCACGACAAAAGACTGGATTTTCAACTTCTGCATGAGATGTGACATGCTAAGGCCTGTAACTATTACCCACAAGACAGCACCAGCATTCCGTTTTTTTTTTCATGAACCTATAACTAAGTCAGCAATTAAACAGAGATGAAACCAAAAGCTACCTTTAACTCAGTCGCCCCATATGGCAATAATACATGCCATGCCCACTGTATTGTATTTACACACAGATGGCTCTACAAGTTCTTAATCACCAAATAGCCAGTTATCAGAAGTACCTATCTCACTTTGTTTCCCCATTTCCTACACTTTAGGATAGGGTCACTTTATTGTCCAAAATATTTTAACGACAATTTAATAATCATAACATCAATAACAATAACAACAGTATCAATAACAATGGTATTAATAAGAAAAACATATTTTCTCGCCAAGGCAATGATTGGGAAAATCAGGACCGGTAACTAGGGGCTACTGATAGATTCCTTGCTGGCTTGAGCACATGTGGAGCCATCTGTATGTAACAAAATTCACCAAAAACTACAGGGGACAGAACCTAAATCTGGGGCGAATGGGCTAAATTATATTACCTGATAAAAGAAAACTTATCCAAGAGACACATGACAAACCATGTAGTCCAAAACATGACTATGGCATGAAGCAAAATGACAAATGCTAACTCCTTGTTTTGAGGTCTTAAGGCACCTGATGGATTCTTTTACACTGACACTTCACACCAAAAACAGCCTTTGCTTTCCCATGAAATGAAAACAGTTATACTATAGTGTGAGTACTAAACAGTCAATGGTAGCTGCAGATTCTCTCTTTAATTTTAATTGAAAAAAGAGGGAGAGAAAAAACATAATACATACCTGCATGTATTATATATATATATTTACTACATGTAATTATGCATAAAACTACCCAAAAATATCTAAATATGGAAAAAAAATCAAGGGTTAAACACATTTCCTTCTCCACCATCTCCTATATTGATCAAAAATCCATTTTTTATATCCCAATCTGAAGGAAAGAAGGGCATCACAAGGCAAGGTAACTTACTTCATTTTAACACTCTTTGGAGCTTGTGGTACTTTGACACGTTTACTGAAATCATCTTCATCGTCAGAGTAAAAAACATCTTCCATTGATTCTTTGAACTCTCCAGCCAGCAAGGCATCCAAGGCAGGCTGCATGAGAAGAAATTAACTATCATTCACTTATTCATAATGCAAATTTTTGCAACCTGAATTTCAAGAATTTGTTGCAAAGAGTAACAGAATAGAAACCATCATGTAAAAAAAACAAGACTAGTTGCTATGAATTTCATAAAATTTCTAAAATGCATAAAAGAATGTATAGTATGAAAATAAGCAGGCACAAAAACATATGTCAAGTTCACTTATCAAATATTCACTTTACTTATGGCATATATATGCAAAGTAGATTAATAATTATCGAAAACAAAAATTCACATACACATCATATAGGTGATAGACTATGTAATAATGTATGCATATAAACCAGAAAATAATGCATATACATAAAGTGTCATCACATAACAACTACTACCAAAATCACATTTAATTACCTGTACGTTAATGTATTTAGAAATAGCACTGTTAGCTTGTCTTTCAGTAAATCCCATTTCAATAATACGTATAATTCTAACTTTATGAATTTCGTCTCTAGCTTCTTGGCAGCCTTTATCTAAACGTAGCACCTCCTCGAAGGCAGATTCGGCATCTATGTATTTCTGGAAAACAAATCAAAGGAATAATTGAAATTGATGCCTAAAAAGAAGAAAAGGATTTTTTTTTTTTTTTTTTTTTTTTTTTTTTTTTTTTCAAAACAGAAAAAATGTAGTAATTTTATTGGTGAAGTTCATATCTTCTGCAAAAGTTCATTCTAAAAAATTCATATCACAACCATTCCATACTTACTCCTAATCCATTGAGAGATGTACCTCTTCTGTAATGTCCTTTAGGCCACTGTGGTGCTATCTTTATTGCTCTCTCTGCATCTTTTAAAGCTCTAAAATATGAAACAGAGATATATATACATA